GCTGAAGAACAAACAGAGGAGGATGACAGCGAAAATTACGAAATCATTGATTCACTTGATGACCCGTTCTTAGACAGTGTTGATGATGAAAACAAAGTCGGTCCAGCAGAGTGTAGTGAAATGGACACTTCTTTCCGAGTGGTAGACAGTGTTACTGAAGACCAAGCAACTACAAGTCAAGAGGATAGTCACCTACTCAACGATGACCATTCCACAGTAAAGCAACTGTCTCAGGAAGATGTGAAGCAAGGTATCGAGACATCTGATGACGAATGTGTAGTTGACGACACAGTTGATCAGGGGGCATATAACAAAGATAGTTCCCAAGTGTTGCATACAGGTAGCAGGCAAGCTCCAAGGAGCAAGAGAAATGCAAAGAGAAGAGGACAAAAAGAAGCAGCCCAAGGCAAGGAAATACCTGATGACCAAATATCAAATGGTGAAGAGCAGCTTCATGAAGATTGTGGCAACAAAGACACTGTAAGGGAACCTGATAGTGATGCTACTGAACCAGAAACCTTTGAGATACTGGATTCAATTGACGATCAGACTGCAATCGAAGATGACAGCCAAAAACCTAAAGCTCCTAGTGACCAGCTATCTAAAGAAGACATTAGACCTGAGCCTACAGAGGTGGACTCAGAGGCTGACCACAAGGATGAAAGAAGAAAGAAAGGGGAGGCAAATGCTAGAAAAGATGGACTATCAAAGGCAGGTGGTCCAAGGACCGGAACATCCAAAAGGGAACAGGAGACGGCGACAAAAAAGCTAGACAAGACGGTTAAAAAATGTGAGATACGAATGAAGACAGACACTACTACAGCAGGTTCTAAACAAGACAAAGAGATCATTGAGATGGAGTATGAGATAGTAGATTCTGTTGAAGATGAACTGGTTCAAGATGTCAATACCACAGAAAGGTCTGATAGGAGGAGTGCAAGAGGAAAAAGAGAGAATAAAATGACAGACATGTCAAAATCAAACATGGATAAAGGGTCAGCATACCAGATTTTAGACTCTGTGGATGACGATGCTGGCAGTGATGAACCAACCATGATGACAAGGTCTACGAGAAGAAAAAGCGAAAGAACTAATGACAATACTAAAAAAGATCACACCTCAACAAGAAGCAGCACTCCTGCAAGAGAGTCACGTCACATAACACTAAAGAAAGAGGAGAAAGCTCTTCTAAGGGATAATACACCAATAAAGAGTGACAGTGTTATAAGAAAGGTAAGTGAGGATGAGGCTACCTATCAAATATTGGATTCGGTGGAGGATGAATTTGTTGAGGATGGTCGACCCAGCGCAGAAGGAAAAGGCAAAAGGGGAAGACCAAAGAAAAACATTAAAACATGTAAAAAAGATGTGATGCTAAAGAAGGGTAACAAAGATGCACCCAAAAAAGTTGAAGATCAAGAAGAGGTGACATATCACATTCTCGATTCTGTGGAGGATGAGATGGCTGATGAGCAACCTCCCAAAGAACAGTCTAAAAGAGCAAGAAAGGCAAACATTTCTAAAAATGACAGTCAGACAAACGCAAGTTTATCTTTTCCTGATGAAGAAGAGTCTACGTATCAAATTGTTGATTCTCTGGAAGGTGATCACATTCAAGAAGAGCTGATGACCACAAAAGAGATGGGGGAAAGAAAGAAGACAAAAGATAAAACTTACCTAAAAGAAGAGGTACCAACTGAACAACAAGCCGAACCAGCAAGTAGCACCAGTACTGTGGGAGCATCTGAACAAATGGTCAGCAAGGGGGAGAGTGTGTTTCAGATAGTTGATGACTTAGACGATGTAAATGATGATCCATTTGATACTGAAGAATCCGGTGCAGAAAAGAAAGAAAAAACAGGCCTTAAGAGAAAAGGGAAATCAACAACTAAGTCCCGAAGTGATACTGCAGCATCAGAAAAGAATAAGAAACAAAAGTCAACCAAGAAAACTGACACAATGGTTGAGGCGAGTGCTCTCGTGAATCTGGATGAAGTGAGTGAGGAGGAGGAGGATTACCCTGATGACACAGCTGAAGAAGAGGAGCTGAGGAAAAGGCAGGCGGTCACTAAAGAGAACCAGCTGATCAAGGCCCGACAGAAGGAGTGGGAAGAGAGGAGGACCCGGGATAGAGGAGACAGGGATCGAAGAAGATGGAGCAGCAGCAGCATAGAAGGAGGGGGAGGGATGAGGAGGGTGAAGACGAGAGGAAGGGAAAAGGAGGAAAAAAATGAGGAAGAGGCCAAGCAGCTGGTGACTGTAGATGATGTGGAAGCAGATGAGGCCAGAGATGATAGATGGTCAGAGAGTCATGAGTGGGATAGGGAGAGCATGGAGGGAGAGCTACAAGCGCTTGTCACTTTGGATGAGGTAGTAGATGAAGAGGTGGGAAAAGCTGAGCAAGGCATGTTTGAGGCCCATCCACCCTGCAAGGAGGACGAATCAGTGGACTTCTTAAATCTAGAGGTAATGTTAAGAATGAAAAGAATTGTCTTCTGTGCGTAAATTGTAATCAAGTACAGCAATACAAATT